GTCACAGCTGCGATGGCTTGGGCATGTGTTGCGAATGCCTCCAGAAAGGAAGGCTAAGCAACAGTTCCTTACAAATCTGACCGGCAAAAGGCCCAGGGGACGGCCAAGATTAACCTGGTGAAAACGTATGGAAGGAATCTGTTCCAGGCTGCAATTGTCTTTTGCCGAAGCTCAGACTCTGGCACGGGATCGGGAACGTTGTAAGCACTGTCTGGCGCGTCTGCTTCCGCGACCCGAAAGGAGAGGCGGCGATGGAAGATGAAGAGACAGAATTCTTTCCTTAAATCATTACACAGATGAAAAGAAAAAAGTGAAAAGTTTGTGAAAGTTGGAATGTCGATCTTTCATCACTTTCATGATTGGGTATTTTCGCGTTCTTTTCATGAAGTTGATGGTGCGGTATGTCATCAGCCAGGCGTCTCATTTTAAAGGTAGAAATTATAGCCATGTAGCAAGCGTCACCTGTATCTTTCTCACAGAATGGAACTCATTCGTCAATCTCGGACGGAAGAAATGTGAATAACCCCGACCAGAATTTGAACTCGAGACCTATCGGTTCTGCCTTCATCGCTCTATTGACTGAGCAAATACGGTCTAAAGAAATGTATTTGTTTGCTCAAGGAAATTCGTGAATAAAGGAATCTGCTCTCAAACGGAATCGAACCCGGCACGTCCGGAGGCGCAACAGACCTCTTAGACACCAACACTACACGTTTGCATAGATAAATACACCTTGGATAATGGCACAGAAAAAAGATCTATACAAAAAACTGAATGAAACAAGAATATGAGAAATGGTATCAGTCATAAAAATGTGGAAAGCACCGAAGTCTCCTCGAAAGACCTGAATTAGAGAAAAGGTTTTTTGGTACAAATGAACCTGCAAATCTCAATGTAGATTTTTTACAGGTAAGGAAGTTGAATATCCGATGGGTTAGATAATACATTCTTGGCTTTTGGTATCTTCGAGGGCGTATTGAAAGAGCAAGTAAATACCCTACCTTTATAAATTATTTTAAGTTCGGTTGAAACGATATTTTCGCTGCGTCACAACAAATACTTTGATATTAAATGGTTGTCTCGCATCCCCGTTAGTCCTTTTAACATCTATCGGTTTTCTGACAAAATTGCATGATGTGCTTGATTCCTGAATACTTATATCTGTGGAAATATAGTAGCATCCTTTTCGAGCTAACCATTTTGCATTCAAACGAATTCGTCCTTTGTATAGGGCCATAACATTTTGGGAGTCAGGTTGGCTTCTAATGCCAAAGATCCCGCATGCGATTTCGTAGGAGGCATAACCTTTGTCTTAAACAGAAATGCCATTGAGCATGGGGTTTATCCCAGGTTGATTTGGTGCAACCGGCCGGGAAGCGGGTCCCAAGTTGCTGACTTGCGAACAACAGGAGAAACATGTTTCAGCGAGGTGATATCAGAGTGAGTGAAAGGTACGGCCATGCGGTCTGATGCTAACGCCCCAGGACGGGAATTCTTCTTAAGCAACCTGATTGCTATCGTGTACAAATAACAACGCCGTATTAAAGAAAATTATCGAACAGGGAAAGAGCTTGCAACATTCCTCGATTTCGGAGTAGCTTTCGAACT